TTTAGGACTACGAGAGAGATTGAGAGCGGTAGGAGATCTGGCCCGGGGGAACCTCCGCAAGGCCCAAGCGAGGCAAGCTCGCTACTACAACCGAGGGGCACAAGTGCGGACCTTTGCCCCGGAAGAGAGGGTTCTGCTGCTGCTGCCGTCGGCAGAATCAAAATTACTAGCAAAATGGCAGGGCCCCTATGAAGTCATCCGGCAAGTAGGCCCAGTGGATTATGAGATCAAACTCCTGGACCAGCGAAAAGGGGCACAAATCTACCATGTAAACCTGTTAAAGAGATGGAAAGAATGAGAAGGCCTCATGGTCAGTTTGCAGAGGGCTGAGAAACAGGTGCGGCAGTTCCTGGGTCTGGCCAGATACTACCGCCGATTCATCCCCCAGTTCACCACCATCGCGACCCCCCTAACAGACCTAACGAGAAAGGGTTACCCGGAAAAAGTGAAGTGGACGGAGCGGTGCGAAGAGGCATTCCAACAGCTGAAGCAGAGGCTTACCTCTGCACCAGTACTAATACAACCCGACTTCACTAAACCCTTCATTGTGCAGACAGATGCATCCAATATAGGGGTGAGGGCAGTCTTGGCCCAGGACCAAGGAAGGGGGGGATAGACCCATTGTATACCTGAGCCACAAACTACTGCTGCGAGAACAACAGTATTCCACCATAGAAAAGGAAGCTCTAGCACTTAGGTGGGCTGTAAAAATGCTGAGGTATTACCTCCGGGGCAATGAATTCCGATTAGTGACAGACCATGCACCCTTAACGTGGATGCATAACATGAAAGAGGTTAACCCCCGGATAATGAGATGGTACCTGTTTTTGCAGCAATATTCATTTATAATAGTGCATCGGGTGGGGTGAGAGCACTCAAACGCAGACTTTCTGTCCAGGTGCGTTGAGAGAGAGGAGGTAAAAGGAGAGACAAGGGAAACTAGGGGGAAGAGGTGTGACGGGGGAACTTACCCCCGCACTCCCAGCCACGGGGACCGCGGCCCCGCACCCCACGCAGAAGGTCAGCTGGGGACAGGAGCCCGGCGTTGTATGCCGGAGCCGGCAGGAAAGCGAGAGGAACCCAGCGTGGCCGGCGCGCAGGTGCAGGACGGCACGGCCGGAACCCGACCAGCGCTAGGACCCAGGAGCACAGGGCCGGCTCTCGGAAGGGAGAGGGCCGGCCAGACTCCGAGCGGGGAATTCAAAAAGGGGGAGGAAGGAACAGGAAGGGGGGAGGTCTGGGCGGAGCAGGGAGGATTGTGCTCTCAGCCTCCTCCGCAGGGCACGAGAAAGATCCTACCTGTAGCGGCGCGGAGGCGGGGACGACCGGAGCGGTGGGGAGCAGGACAGAGCCAAGCCCCACCAGAGAGGGGACAGCCGGGGGACGGACCGGGAAGGAACCTGGACCCAAGAGCTGAGCCAAGGACAGTGAGGCCGCCGGCCCCGGGAGGACCGGCAGTGGAGCCCGCATCTGGGGAGATGGCGGGGTAGAGACCAGGAACGGGAGGCACAGGGCATACTAGGGCAAGGACCCTCGGACTGTGGGGGGTGCCCCGTGGCCCCTGAAGAGAGACTTGGTTACACTCCCGTTCGGGCAAAAGTCCTTTGCGCAAAAGCTTTTGTGCAAAAGGGCCTGTGTAGACAGCTCAGATTTGTTTTGTGCAAAAAAAGCCCGGATCGTGAAAATGGCGATCAGGGCTTTTTTGTGCAAAAGCGCGTGTAGATTGGCACGGACGCTTTTCTGCAAAAAGTGCTTTTGCGGAAAAGCGTCCGTGCCAATCTAGACGCTCTTTCCCGCAAATGCTTTTACAGAAAACTTTTCCGTTAAAAGCATTTCCGGAAAATCATGCCAGTCTAGACTAGCCAAGGCGTTAAGTGAACAAACTGGGGTGACCCAATGGGGTTGGGGGAGGCAGCCCCTCCCAATACTGAACTAAATTCCACTAGGGCCATGCTTCTCAAGGCGTCATGGCCCCACTTTGAAAAAGCTGCTATGCTGCCCCCTAGGGGCGGGACATCCCCTCGGTGAGGATACGGCCCTGCCGGGCCTGACATTGGCTCCTTGGTGCGCACATGACGCGTTACCGCTAGCCCTTCCTGACACGTGGCCTGACATTGGCTCCTTGGTGCGCACATGACGCGTTACCGCTAGCCCTTCCTGACACGTACCCTCGGAAAATGGCGGCTCCCGCGCGAGCTTCAGCCCCATGACAGTCAGAGGAGACGGCGGCCATTTTGAGTAAGGGACAATTCCCCGCGCCGTCAGCCTGAGCCCGCCACGTGCGGGTACGGGGATGGTTCCACAGTCTCGGCTCCCCCCCGCCGGGGC